GGTCTTATATAGAGAAAAAATCTTGGATCAATTTTCTATAGAATTATTATTTCTATAGAATTATCTCTATAGAGAATGGATGAGTCTTATATAGAGAAAAAAATATTGGATCAATTTTCTATAGAATTATATTTCTATAGAACTATCTCTATAGAGAATGGATAGGTTTTATATAGAGAAATAATTCTTGGATCCAATTTTCTATAGAAGTCTATAAAAACTCATAAATGTCTATAGACTTTCTATAGAATTCTATAAAACATTTTACTACGGGATACACTGAGGCAAGTCATAGCATAATTGCGCACAGGCGTAGCATAACCCATAGTAGGCCTAAAGGTGAATCATCTCCTGTTTGGCTCGGAGGGCCGCCAGTAGCAAAACCTCCTTCCTAGGCACTTGCTAAATAAACAGACCGTGGTCCCCAAGCGATATGTAGCAGGACAAACATAAAGTTTATGAGACACTATGGATATGTTCGCTTCTATGCGGCGCGTGTACAAAGGCGGTTAATAAAATAGGCTAGCCTAAATCACACACGTATTACTGTATTATGGCCTATCATCAGGTTAATATATTAATATCTTGAAGTACAAAGTTTCTTTTCAATCTATGGTACACGACTATGACCAATACTGGAATAGGCTATAATTAATTAGTTCAATATATTAATTAACTAATTTTCCAAGTAATTTGCTCAAGTTATTCGATAATATATACCGTAGGTCAAGAAATAACTAGCCTTATCCTTCATAAATAATAATGTGTATTTTGAAAAAAGAAAAAGATGTTTCGGGTTATTGATGAAGGCATTATACGCCTATTTCTCCAGCTTATATTATAAAATGAGATGTAAGCTATGACCGATGAAATAATTATATTAACTAGTTCAACATATTTAATTAACCAATTCTCCAAATAGCTTGCTTCAGGAATTCGATAAATTGGTCAAGTAATAACTAGGCTTATCCGTTAAAGATAATGTGTGGTACTTGTATTTTGAAAATATTTTGGGTTATTTGTGTAGACATTATACGCCTATTACGCCAGATTATATCAAATGAGATGTACACTTTTCCTCATATAAATTACTTGAAATTTTATTATATTATTAACTTTCTTTAGGTTGCTGTAAAAAATGTATTGCATTACAATATTATTGCTAATATTAATGATGAAATTTGTCATGGATGTGTACAGGCCAACTGACCTCCATTAGTACAGTAATATGAATAGAACTTTCATTATCGCCATAAAAACACGGTCTACTATAATATCGACGTAATATTCGAACTTTACCCATAAGTTAAAAATACAATCAGAAGCACACGAAGTAAAAACACTTACACGCCACCCCTTTGATATACCGCCTCTGAAGCAAAGGTGGTGCCAGAAATTTTCCGACGAAGGGTCCGACATTTCCGACTGAGGGGACCGAGCCAAGGGGTCGGCGGGGCCTCGGTCGACAGCCCAGAATAAAAACTCCTATGTAAGGGTTCACGGGGAGAGTTTTTATGGATTAGTATGGTCCAAAATGTGCTTTTAAACGTTATTTAGATAGGCAAATTATTATTATTTTTTATTATTTTCGATCCGACGACCTATTTGTGCGTCGGACGACAGGGGAGTCCAGGCCTGTCCGACGGGGAGGTGAGGGGTAAAAAAACAAGTAGGCCTATAGACATTTCAAACTAGTGACCTGTTCAATACCCATTAGCAATAT